CCCGCGCTCGGGCTCCTGGGGCTGGCGGCTCCGACTTCCCAGCCTCCCCCGTTTCCGTTGGAGCTGTGTTCTACTTGTTCCTATTTCCGGCTTGAAGACCGCTAGCAAACATAATTTAAAAAAGAAGCACTTCCGGAGGGACGTTTCCGGGCGGCCGGAAGTAACTGAACGTCTCACGTTCCTCTTTTTACGTCATTCTCGCGATGCCTCGTGGGAGTTGTGGACCTGGGTGGGCGGTGCTGCGGGTGAGCGGACGGGGCGGGGAGTGAGCTGGCGGGCTGCTTTTCCGCCTGGTTGGGCACGAGGTTGTGCATCCCACTCGCCTCACTTGAGGTACAAAGACCTTTAATTCGGTTAAAAATTTTACTTGATCCCTACTACCTATTTTGTACTATTTTTAAAGGCTTTCTTCCACGAAATATATGTAAATAAGACAAATGACATTCGTTTTTTTTTAAAATATATTTTATTGATTTTTTACAGAGAGAGAGGGAGAGAGATAGTTAGAAACATCGATCAGCCGCCTCCTGCACATCTCCTACTGGGGATGTGCCCGCAACCCAGGTACATGCCCTTGACCGGAATCGAACCTGGGACCTTTCAGTCCGCAGGCGGACGCTCTATCCACTGAGCCAAACCGGTTTCGGCGACATTTGTTGTTTTAAAACAAAAAGCATAAAAAGAAAACAAAAGTGGTATGGTGATAGAGTTCCTAAGGCATAAACTAAAAGTCCCTTTTCCTGCCCAGCTCCCACCTTTAAAAGGAAAACATCTGCTTTTTAAAGGGGGGGGGGGGAGTATAGGTGCAGACGTACATGTTATTAAAAAGTGCAGAGAAAGATAATGCCTTCATACTCTCTTCAGCCTTTTCCATTTGATCCATTTAGAGACGCACAGAGAAAGCTATCTTACTCTTTTTAAAATGGCTAGATAGTAGTACATTGCATAAATACCATAATGTATTCATCCGCTGCCCTCTTCTTCACCCACTGAAGGACATTTTGGCTGCTTCCAATTTTTTTCTGTTGCAAAGAATTTTCAATGATTGCCTTGGGACATATTTTGGTGTAAATCCTCAGGGTTCATTTGTAGAGAGACAAAACTGCCCAGGCAATGAGACACATGCTGATAAATACCGCCAAATTGCCAAATTGTATCAATTCACACCCTTATCCAAAAATGTAAGAAAGTGCTTACTTTGTCATTTATGCTTTATCATTGGATAATATCAAACGTTAGAAATTTTGCTTCTCTGATAGGTGAACCACTTTCTTTGATTAGCAGTTTCATAATTATGAGTAAGTTTGCACTACTATTGATATTTATTGGCCATTCGTTTTCCTGAAAGCAGTCATATTCTTGGCCCAATTTTCTTAAATATTTTATTTATTTATTGTTATTTCAGAAAGAGGGTGGGAGAGGGCAACAGAGATAGAAACATCAACCATGAGAAAGAAGCATTGATCTGCTGCCTCCTGCATGCTCCCCACCGGGAGTCCAACTGTGACCTCCTGGTTCATAGGTTGATGCTCACCCACTGAGCCACACCAGCTGGGCTGATCTCCAAATTCTTAACATGTCCATGCTCCCAAATGGCAGCAACTAAGAGACCAAATTACTTTCGAACAAACATCTCTCTGCAGCTATACCCACATCCTACTGAGTAGGTTAACCCTATAGGAAAGGACCAGGTACATCATTAATGGGTACCAGGAATTGAACCTGTGACCCTTGTGTGCTCCTGCCGGTGCTCTAACCATTGAGAACACCAGCCAGGGCTGCTTCCTCTTTTTTTTATTGCTTGTTTTTTGTTTTGTTTTGTTTGTTTGTTTGTTTGTTTTTTTAAAATATATTTTATTGATTTTTTACAGAGAAGAAGGGAGAGGGATAGAGAGCTAGAAACATCGATGAGAAGCATCGATCAGCTGCCTCCTGCACACCCCCCACTGGGGATGTGCCTGCAACTAAGGTACATGCCCTTGACCGGAATCAAACCTGAGACCCTTCAGTACCCAGGCCAATGCTCTATCCAGTAAGCCAAACCGGTCAGGGCGCTTTTTTTTTAAATTAAAATAATAGTATATGTTAATCTTAGCAAATGTAGATGAGTAAAAAGAATAAAATATAAGTCACCTGTGGCCCTATTATCTAATGACAACTGATCTATTTTGGTATATATACCTTCTCATATTTTATAAATATACTAGAGGCCCAATGCATGAAATTCATGCAAGAGTCGGCCTTCCTTCCCTCCGGCCACTGGCAGGCACCCAGGCACCCTTCCCTCTCAGCCCTGGCTTCATCCGGAAGGACAGAAGGACATCCGGAAGGATGTCTGGTCTAATTAGCATATTATGCTTTTATTATTATAGATTATTATAGATATACAATGTATGTATACATACAATTTATATTTATAAAATTGGAATCATACCATACCTACTTTTAAAATGTAAATTTTATATTTTTTACTTTTAAAATTGAGATGAATTTGATATATCTTATACCCAGTAAAGTGCATAGGTCTTTGAAATATTGTTTTCTAATTTTTTTCACCTAACATTTCCCAGGCATTAAATATGTTTCTACATCATTTTCAGTGACTACATGGTACATTGCAGAATGTGAGAATATGGTGGTTCAGGAAAAGAAGCTTCGAGTTGCATTTCATAAAACATGAGTGAGTGATTACCAAAATTCTTTTCACAATTACCTTTTCTTTTTGTTTTTCAGAAGAACGTTAAAGCATTGTCCTGACTCTTCTCAAGATGGAGAATAAAGGAGCAATATTTTCTTTTTCTGATCAATATTGTCTAGTGTTTGAGGGAATTCATATCATTTTTCTTTTTAATTGTGGTAAAATATATATAACATAACATTTACCATTTTAACTATTTTAAGTGTACAGTTCAGTGGAATTGAGTACATTCACGTTGTTGTGCAACCATCACCACCATCCATCTTCAGAAATTTTCTAATTTTTCCAAACTAAAACTTCATGCCTTTTATTTTATTTTTTATTTTTTTACATATATTTTATTGATTCCCCACAGAGAGGAAGGGAGAGGGATAGAGAGCTAGAAACATCAATGAGAGAGAGAGACATCCATCAGCTGCCTCCTGCACACTCCCCACTGGGGATGTGCCCGCAACCAAGGCACATGCCCCTGATCGGAATCGAACCCGGGACCCCTGAGTCTGCAGGCCGACGCTCTATCCACTGAGCCAAACCAGCCAGGGCAACTTCATGCCTTTTAAACACTAACTCTTCATCTGACTCCTCCCCACAGTCCCTGGAAATTTCCATTTTTCTTTTTGTCTCTATGAAGTTGACTCCTCAAGGTACCTCATATAAGTAGAATCATACAGAATTTGTCCTTTTGTGTCTGACTTACTTCACTTAGCAAAATGTCTTCACTTAACTTTATCCATGTTGTAGCATGTGTTAGAATTTCCTTACTTTTTTTTTCTTTTTTTCAGAGAGGAAGGGTGAGGGAGAAAGAGATAGCAGCATCAATGATGAGAGAATTATTGAATGGCTACCTCCTACAGGCCCCCTAGTAGGGGTTGAGCCCGCAACCTGGGCATGTGCCCTGATGGAGAATTGAACTGTGACCTTCTGATTCATAGGTTGATTCTCAACCACTGAGCCACACCAGCTGGGTTCCTTCCTTGTTAAGGCTGAATAATACTCCATTGTCTGTATATACCACATTTGTTTATCTATTCCTCTGTCAGTGGACACTGGGTTGCTTCTGGCTATTGAGAATAATGGTATTACGAACATGGGTATACAAATATCTGTTCAAGTCCCTGCATTCAAATCTTTTGGGTGTGTACCCAGAAGTGCAATTGTTGAGTCTTATAGTAATTCTATATTTAATTTTTTGAGGAATCACCATCCTGTTTTCCATAGCAGCAACTTTATATCATTTTAAGACAATTTTCAGCTATTTTGTTTAGGCTTTTGTGATACCCACGTAGGCCTTCAAAACCTCAAGGGATGTGAAATTTCTAAAAGAAAATTAATTACTTTATAAGTTCCATACAGAACTTTTAGCAAGAGAGGATATATAGTGAAGGATTGGTGAAAATAGTGCCTCACTACTTTATTTCTCTTCAGAAATAAGCTTTAAAAAAGACGTATATAGGTGGGCTCAGTGAAAAAGTATTTTTTCCAAGGTGAGATTTATGGGGGCATTTAAAGGGTTAAGGCAATTACAGTTTTGTATACCTCACCACTCACCTTCTCTAAATCCTAGACCTGACCTGCATTTCCTAGGGCCACGGTGAGCTGCAACACAGGTTCCCTGCATCCACTCCAGACCAGACACATTCTTGAGTCTGGAGAGAGCCAGCCCAGGAGAAATGGTACAGCAAATCCACCCTATCATCATAGAGTTATTTTTCTCACTTTCCTATTTTATTTCACGATTTTAAATGGTTTTATTTGTTTGCCTCCCTCCATCAGAATGTAAGCTCCCTAAGAACCCAGAGTTATTTAGCATACCTTTCCTACCTTCATGCTGGGCACAAAATAGGTCCTTAATAAATATTTGTTGAATGAGTAAATGATCAAATGAATGAAAATTTGCTTTCTGAGTCTATTTTCTTTTATTCTATCTAAAATTTTTTTGAAATTTTCTAAGTTCACAGGAAACTATCCACTACTCATATCTAACAAATTCTAAGATTTTAGCATATTGCTTCAAATTTTTCTTTTATCACTTAAAAAGAAGGAAAAAGAAAAAATATATAGGAGATGGAGAGATGGCTCACTTGGGGAGTGTGTAAAAATGGACAGTCTGTTTATCCAGAAGAGAGTGGTTAATCTGCATCACTTATATAAACTCAAACTACAAGTCCCAGGCAGCACTGCAACAGTTTGGTAGGGTCTATTATTTTTTTCTTCTGTAAACAGCCAATGAAAGGTAGTTTACACAGGTCTTGGATGACATCTGGTGTGTGTATTGGCTGTGTCCAGCCTTAAACCTTGTTAGTGCAGGTTGGAACATGCTGCTGTAAACCAGATTTAAAAGGCTTTTCCTGTTCATTCGCAGCTCATTGTGCCTCTTGTTTCAGGGCAAGAAGAGTTGATTAGTGATCTAAATGGACGCGATACTGAATTACAGGTTGGAAGACACTGAAGACTACTACACGTTACTGGGATGTGATGAACTGTCTTCGGTAAGACAGTGAATTATGCTGTTCTTTTTCACAACAGTGTTTCAGGTTTTATTTAAGATTTTAACTTTGAAATTTTAGTCACATTGCCTAAAAACCTAATCTTGTATTATTTTAAAGTACCTTTGGCTCAGAGAAAATTAAGGATTTAAATGTGCATTGGGTCTTTACTTGAATAGTGTCTTCTTGCAGTTTTATGGATACTTGTGATTGAATATGTGTATTGCCATAGACTCTATTTCAAATATACTAAAAATAGATATTTGAAATTTTGTTGTAATTGCTATTGACTGTGTTTCATAGCATACATAAGCGATAGCTTTATTATGGCAATTTAAATTTTAATTGAGATGAAATGTAATTTTCTAGTAATTGGTGATTTTAAAATGTTTTATTAAAATGTGTACTGTTATGTGAGTAGCTAAATTATGCAAACCAAGAAGCATCCTTTTATGTTAATAGTTCAAATTGTGTAAGAGAAATTACTTCTTAAAAGGGTGGCTTCTGATACAAACCATGTGAAAATTCTGTAGGTTTTCACTTGATCCATAGTAGAATAATGTTTTAAAGGTCCCCACATAGACAATTATAAAGGTTGTAAAAGTTTTTTAAATTATGGGAAACTCATTTATAATTCTATCTCCATTGGTAACACTGTTAATGTTTGGCATATTAATCTTCAGTCTTTTTCCTATACATATTTTTGAAGACATGTTTGGGAGGATATTATATATATTTGTTGATTCTTGCTTTTTATCCACTAACATTATAACAAGGATTTCTCCATGCTATGAAACATTTTTCATACATATTTTAATGATCACATAATTTTATTGTACCACAATGGATGTTCTGTTATTGTTACAAATTTTATCTATTTCTAGTTTTCAAAATTTTAAATATTGAGATGAATATGAAATATATTTTAATTATATTATTGCATATATTCATATTATTTATATTTATATTTAAAATATATTTTATTTCATTACTAAAATATAGCTATTACAATAAAATATTTTAAAGCAAAATATTTTTTCTATTTAATTTTGTTTTATGTGGCTGGAGTTTAGTAATAAAATGAAATTAAATGCTATATTGTGTATTGTAGACTAGAATGCTATATTGGACACAAAGGATTAAAATCTCTGCCATCATCACTTTGAGGAGTTTACCTTGAGTACCTTGTAGTTACACACACACACACTAAACAGGTTATAATGCTCTTTTAGGTGCATATTTCTTCTTTAGGGTAATATGTTACTCTTGCTTGCTTTTGTGGTGATTTTGCTTATAGCGAGTTTGAAAGCTTAGTACCATTTTTACCATGTGTTATTCATACCTTGGATTCTACTATTGCCAAATAATTTTTGAAGGACCTTTTTAAAATCAAAGGAGCATAATCAAACTTGATAAGTTTCACCACTTGGGTTAAAAAATACTGTCATGCTAGGTTATAAAGAGTCTTTATATCTCCATAATAAATCTTTTGACTGTTTAGTCAGTCTCTTGTAGTTCTGTTATTGTCTTTTTAGTCTACACAGGGGGAGGATTAATTTTGAATAGACTAAAAAAATGGTCCTATTGTTTATTTATAATGCTTATAACAGTTCAATTTTATGGTTAGCCGTTATAGTCATACTTCTCTGCATATACTGTGGCATATATTAAACGGATAAAAGCATTATACTCCTTCTGGATGCATTTTACTGACTCTGTCAATGGCACAGAAGTGTAGATAACAATCATTTGTTTAAAATGAAATGACCTTCCATAATTTTGTCAATTCTTTTTATATGTATCCTTCCCATTTAAAAATATTTCATGCCAATTTTGAGTAGTGTGACATTTCCTTTACTTGATTTGTATTGGATGGATTTCCTTTACTTCAAATATTCCTTGATTTGATGCTCTAAAAAATTGACCATAACTGTTCATATCCCAAAACAATTTAGCAGTTATAATTTCAAAGCCACTTGATATTTTAATTTTTATAACAATTGAGTTGAGACACACATAAT